TTGAACACAAAGCCTTTTTAAGCCTCAATAATCAAATATTATTTTACAATTATGTCTCTTTAGGCTCAAAGCAATAACACAATACTAAAGTTAGAAAATCACTTTGTTGTTTTATCTTACTATCAATACGTGACACGACTAATTAATTATAATGCTTTTACAAAAAGAATGCATATAAAGTTTACAACTGTTGTTCTCTCTTTCTTTGAATATTCAAACTTCTTTATATAGGTGTTTTAAGAAGATGACTGTTGCAAATCCTTAAGCACCTTTAACAAGTTTGTTCCATTTGTCTCCATTTTCATTCTTTTTGGAGGGAAATATTCATTGGTGTATTAAATGTGGGCAATAAATGTGTTTCACAAAATCATCACTTTTTACCTGATAAAAAATACTACTTATCACCTTTTAAGATTTCAAAAGAGATTAATTATTGCTAGGGGTGGACAAAATGAACTGAACTGAACTGAACTTATAAAAACTGTACTGAACTTAAAAATAGTTTTCATGAACTGAACTAAACTAAATATTAGTTCAGACGAACTGAACTGAACTATTTTTTTGTATCATTGAACTGAACTGAACTATACTATAAAAACTTGAACTGAACTACAATTTAAACTGCACTGAACTGTTATGATATTTTGAATTGAACAATTTTGACTCATTGATCTATCAAAATAGGACACATTTGCCAACATTACTTTATTTTCCATTTTATTTAAATTTTTCAAAGAAAAAAAATATAAAATTAAGTCAAACAAACTCAGTAAATTTTAAGCCTAAAAAGAAGTAGTCCAACATAGCTCAATTGATCCGTTAGATTCGACAAAATTGATATAATTTTTTTTGGATCACTTTTTTTTTCTTCTAAAGTTTTGGTTATTGGACTATCAAGTTAATCTATTAAGACATAACATGTTAGACACATTTAATTTTTATCCTTTTATAAAAATAGTTCAATTTTTATAATTCAATTCAGTTTTATAGTTTAGTACAGTTAACTTTCCAACAGTTCAGTTCAGTTCAGTTTTTTTTTAAATAGTTCAGTTTAGTTTTTTTACAAATAGTTCAATTTTTTATAGTACAGTACAGTTCAGTTCACCACCAGTTCAGTTCAGTTCAGTTTTTTTTGCCCACCCCTAATTATTGCGTGTGTCAGTTATAAATAATTTTTTTTAGTCTTCACATGTATGTGTACCTTTTTTTTTGTTATGTGAGTACAAAGAACAAGTTTTATATTTCTTTCAATATGTTAAGGAATAACACAAACAAATATAATTTGATTACAAATGAAGTAATTCGTCTGAGAGATTTAATGTCAAAATAACCAATCATTTATCATTATTCATCTTATAATATGATCTGAAAAACTTTTTTTCTTGAAAAACGTTTGAGTTTGTTATTATAAAAACTTATATCTCGTGAAATTTAAAATCGTTTTTTAATCTAATAAGACTTTTATTACTTGAGAAAATATTTTGATAATTTTGTACGTTTTCCTTTTATTTTCACATTGTGTTTCATTTTTGTTTAACTAATGACATTGAGGTAATTTTTACAAACTTAACCCATGTCGGATAAAATGCCATCTACTAAATAGCACCCAATGTATGTGATTCCATTTGACGTAAAATGTTTTTCACAATATTCCCTTATCTAAAACATAAAAAAAAAAAAAAATACATAAGTTGAGCACATTATTGATGTTATTTAAATCAACATCTAAGACTGCATGTTAGATCCATAAGTCTCGCAACACCACTATTTTAAGAGTGATAGTGAGTTTGTCACAATATCCTTGACAAAATTGTCATTTTCACGTTGTGGGACAAATTTTTTCATTCTAAATGCTTATAATCAATACCACCTACCATACATGAACAACCACATACATCTTTTATTTTTAGCAAAACTCCAATGTTATTATTGTTAAGCATTCTTAAGTTTTTTATCGTAAATAGTTCATTCACTCCTTTGACAAAATTGTCTTCGATTTATACTCAAATACTTTCACTTATGATGACATACTCCCATAGGATATAAGTTGCTGATCCATAAGCCAACATAAAAATTATACTATCATATTTATGCAATGATGGAACACCCATTCTTTTAAATGCATCATTCCTTAGATGAAAATATTTGTCATTGTTGTTAAGTTCTCTCATAATATGTAGGAACACATGTCCCGAGTTTCTCACGTTCGAAACCTTTGTTGAATTTTTAATGTATAACAAGTTAGACAAAAATGTAGTCACAAAATAAGTAGAGATGTCATCATAATTTTAAAAATCAACTCAAATCAAACTCAAATCGATCGGTGGAACCGATTGGACCAAGACTCGATTATACGAACTGTTTAAACATGTTGAATTCTATATGTCATCAACTCGATATAAATCGGTATGACTCAGCTGATTTTTCAATTAAACCAGGGAACCGTGGGTTGATGACCAGGATTGGTTCAAGTTGAACAACAATTCATTTTTCTTTTTTCTAAATGGTTACACTTTTTTTTTGGATTCATTCTCCTTTTCTAAATTCGCACACAAGCTGTGTTGCAACATTGAGACATGCATTTCTTCTCCCTTTTCTAAATTCGTGCTCTGCTGCAACCTCGAGAATGACGTGACACACTTGTAACATGTTTTTCAGATTTAAGAATTTAATAAAACTATATTAAAAATAGAGAAAGATTCAAATGATATTGATCTAGGGGTGAGCAACGGGTGGGTTTGGTCGGGTTCGGGTGAAAAATGTCCAACCCATTGTAAACCGATTTTGAAAAAATGTGACCCATATCCGACCGACTGAGCTTTCGATTTGAGGCGGTTCGGGTTGAAACGGATTCGGATTTAAGCGAGTGGGTATAATCGTGTTTGAATTTTTTTGTAAACCAATTTATCTTAAGGAAGATGAAGCTTAAAACGATAAAAAATATTTTTAAAATAGTGTATAAAAATAGAATGAAGGTGACAATAGATGGTGTAAGTAGATTCGTAGTTGAAACATTTACAAACTAAAGAAGCAAAAATAAAAGATAACAAAATTCATAGTTGTTACATGGAAAAGAAATATAAAGTTAGATTACAAAATCATAAGAAATCACAGTCACACAAAATGTACTCAAAATGGAGATAAGAAGATGGAAAAGAAAGACAAAGAAAGAAGCAAAAAGATAACTCTAAAAATGGACTAGTGTGTTGAGAAGTTGAATGAGGAAGGAGAAGACAAAATAAATATCTAAGTTATGAGAAAAAGGAAAAAAATAAGTTACAAATTGATGGCTATATTATACTTGAAATAAAGACTTTTAAGTTTAGACCATTGTTATTTAGTTATACAAAAGTAATAAAAATTTAAACTTATCTCATTTTCGGTTGGGTTCGGTTTTTGGCCGGTTTAAAAATTCAAAACCGAACCCGCCCAATATAACCCGTATAAAATCAAAATTTTAACCCGATTTACCCATAACACCCGCCCGAACCCACCCAAAAACAATATTTTTTATCGGGTTTTTCGGGTTCGGTTCGGGTGTCGGTTTAATGCTCACCCCTAGATGTAACTTTTACTAAGTGTTACACTGTTCAATAATTTTATATTAAATGTGAATTTTATAAATCTAACTGTTAGATTAAAAGTTATCATATCAATTTATATGTATATGTCAAATTTTATTAAAATTGAACAATAACTTGAGGGTAATCAAAATGTTCATATTTTAGTATATTTTGAAATAAATATATTATGTCAATTTTGTTTTATAAGAATGAAGTATCAAATCATATTGAATTACTATAAAATTTTGTATATATAATCTAAGAGTAAAGAATTTTCAATTTAACGATTGAATTTATAAAATTCACATTTAATATAAAGTTATTGAGCGGTATAATACTTAGTAAAAGTTATATCAATATCCTTTAAACTTTCTTCTTAAAAGTATAACAATTTGGATTCAAGTTGTGCCACAAATACTTTTGTGTATATTCTTACCAAATATAATATATAACTATAATATATTAAATAATATTTTATCCATTCAATTATATAGGATTCAATTAGTAATGTACTAATTTACCTATAATTCTAACTCAGTACCTCTACTGAGAATATTTTTTTATGTATGTTTTTAAAAAAATGAAATTTTATGTTTGATTTTAATAGAACTTTTCTGAAAACATTAATTATTTACCATAGTATATATTTTAATTAAGAGTACACTGTTTTATTTTTATTTTTATTTTTTATTTTATCGAGGTAGTTGTTTTCTTTCAATTTGAAAAAGTTGAATTCTTATCTAACAAAGAAACAATTTAGAAGAAATTTTTTTATATAGGAAATAAAATTTTAGGATAATTGTTTATTTATATTTTTGTCCTATAATTAATTTTTCATTTTAATCCTTAAACATATTATTATTATTTTTATCTTTTCTTTTTAGTCGTTATTGTCACATAATCTTCCACTTTTAGTCTGTATAACTTTTTTTTTCTTTCTTTTGATTCATATAATTGTATAAACTTTTTTTTAGTCTCTATAAAAATAGACAATAATGACTAAAAAGAAAGGGATATATAATAATTAAAATAATTTTTTAATTATAAAAAATAATTAAACTTTCTTTAAATAATAATAAATCAAACATAAAAAAAAAAATATTTCTTATTTATGATTTCTAAAAGAAAACTAAAAAAAACTTCATTCACATCAATCGTCTTCTTACAATGATTATGATAAAAATTAAAAAATTTAATTAACGGCGTGAATTTTTTTAACAAAAAATATTACAATTAAATTCAAAAACCATAATTAAAATTGAATAGCAAGTTAATTCCTGTTTGATGAACGCAAGAGAAAAAAGGCAGTGAAAGAAAGCACACGATCCAGATCCACCCACCAGAAAAAAAAAAAAGAAAAAAAAAGTGAAAACGGCAGTGCATTGGACATTTGTAATTGGATGGTTGCATAGACAGTCACAGTGAGAGAGGCCTTTTCAAAAAATGAAGGGCCTCAGCGAGGCACATCATTTCCGCGCCCACACCAAATCAAAAAAGCACTCCTCAGTCTCACTCCACTCCATTGACAATTAACAGAAGAAAAAAAAAAGAAAAAGAAAAAGAAAAAGTGGTAGTTGCGTTGCGAGTTGCGACGATGGAGGAAGAAGAAGACCAACAGAAGCTTCCAGATCTGGTGAAGGAACTCGTCCAACGCTTACTATCGCAAAACCTCCCTCCAAACTCCCCTCCCCTAAACCCTAACTCCCCCGAATTCATCAACTCCCTCCGCTACGCCCACCGCATCCTCTCCAGCCGCCTCACCCCCTCCGTCGCCCCCGACGCCGCCGCCATCGCCGACTCCATCAAGCGCCGCCTCGCCGCCCACGCCCGCTCCTCCGAGGCCCTCTCCTTCGCGGACCTCTTCTCCAAATTCGCCCACAAGGCCCAAAGCGTCAACAACAAATGGGCCGTCATTTACCTCCTCAAAATCATCTCCGAAGACCGCCACCACAGCCACCACCAACCGCCCCCTCTCCTCCCCAACCTCGCCTTCTCCCAACCCGCCACACACCACCACAAACCCTGGACCAACGGCGCCCTCTTAATCTCCAAGGATCCCGACAACCGCCGCGACGTCGCGTTTCGCGACTTCGTCGCTTTCGTCAGAGAAGAGAACGAGGTCTCCGAGGAGGCTCTCGTCAGGGACGTGCTCTACGCGTGCCAAGGCGTCGACGGTAAGTTCGTCAAATTCGAGAGCGAGAGTAAGCGTTACGCGGTACCCGATTCTGTTAGGGTTCCGAGAGCCACTAGGAGTATTGTTCACAGCCTCTGTGAATTAGGGGTTTTGTTTAGGAATGTTAGTGGTTACATTTCGCAGAGCATGGATCGGTTTCCCGCTGAGGATGTGGGAACTGTAGGGCAGGCTTTTTGCTCTGCTTTGCAGGATGAGCTTAGTGAGTATTATAAGTTGTTGGCGGTTCTTGAAGCTCAGTCTTCCAACCCCATTCCCTTGGTGTCTGAATCCGCCACCTCCGGGAACTATCTTTCCCTGCGGAGGTTGGCGGTTTGGCTTGCTGAGCCCATGGTCAAGATGAGGCTGATGGCTGATTTGGTTGAGAAGTGTAGGGTTTTGCGCGGCGGCGCCATGGCGGGGGCGATTCATTTGCACGCGCAGCATGGTGATCCCTTGGTGCATGAGTTCATGAGGAGGTTGTTGCAGCGGGTGTGTTCTTCGCTGTTTGAGATGGTGAGGAGGTGGGTTTTGGAAGGGGAGTTGGAGGATATCTTTGCTGAGTTTTTCATTGTTGGGCAGCCGGTGAAGGCAGAGTCTCTTTGGAGAGAAGGGTATAGACTCCATGATGCGATGCTTCCTTTGTTCATATCGCCTTCTCTTGCACAGAGGATCTTGAGGACTGGCAAGTCAATTAATTTTCTTCGCGTTTGTTGTGAGGATCGTGGTTGGGCGGATGCTGCTACTGAGGTTGTCGATGATAAGGGAGCAGCATCGAGAAGAGGTGGTTTTGGATATGGTGAAACAGATACGCTTGAGTTTTTGGTGGATGAAGCTGCAAAAAGGATCGACAAGCATCTATTGGATGTGATTTTCAAGAGGTACAAGTTTAAAGAACACTGTCTTGCGATTAAGCGGTATTTGTTGCTTGGACAAGGTGATTTTGTGCAGTATCTGATGGATATTGTTGGGCCTGAGCTTTCTGAGCCGGCTAACACTATCAGCTCTTTCAAACTCTCGGGATTGCTGGAAACTGCAATTCGGGCATCTAATGCTCAGTATGATGATCCTGACATTTTGGATAGGCTCAGGGTTAAGATGATGCCACATGAAAGCGGTGACAGGGGCTGGGATGTATTTTCACTAGAATATGATGCAAGAGTTCCACTGGATACTGTGTTCACAGAGTCTGTGATGGCAAGGTATTTAAGAATTTTTAATTTTCTGTGGAAGCTTAGAAGAGTGGAACATGCACTTACTGGAACCTGGAAGACTATGAAACCAAACTGCATTACTTCTAATTCCTTCACCAGATTACAGCATGCAGTAAAGATGCAGTTGGTTTCAACATTGAGGCGCTGTCAGGTTCTTTGGGTCGAAATTAATCACTTCATTTCAAACTTGCAATATTATATAATGTTTGAAGTTTTGGAGGTATCATGGTCAAATTTTGTGAGTGAGATGGAAGTAGCTGAGGATCTTGATGACCTACTTGCAGCCCATGAGAAATATCTGCATTCAATTGTAGAGAAATCTCTCCTTGGAGAGCTTTCCCAGTCTCTTTCCAAGTCACTATTTGTAATTTTTGATCTTATATTACGTTTTCGGAGCCGTGCGGATCGGTTGTATGAAGGTATTCATGAGTTGCAAGCAAGGTATTGATCTTATTTTTTCATTTGTAAACCTTCCCCTACCTATCCCCCCACCCCTGAGAAACAAAAATATATTGCCACGTTTGACATTTGATCATGTGTCTGTTTCAGAATGACAGAGTCCTCCTCATCCTCTCGAGACCAGAATAAATCAAGAACACGAAAGCAACTGACAGATAAATCTGCAGAACAAGGATCCTGGATTGCTGATGGGAGGAAAGCCCTAACACAACGAGCTGGTGAATTTCTAAGGAATATGGGACAAGATCTGGATGCAATTGCCAAGGAGTACTCATCATTGCAAGAGGAATTCATTTCTCAGTTGCCTGTACAGCAGCATGTTGATCTAAAATTTCTCTTTTTCCGCCTTGATTTCAACGAATTTTATAGGCGGTTGTGTCCTAGCATGTAGGCAATTTGTGAATAAGGCTGAAGCTCAGGCTGAGGCATTGTTTCTTCAAAAAGACAAGGCATTAAAAGCTTTGCAGCCAGCTAACTTCCATTGCGTGTTTGAGTGATTCTATTGCTGCTAACTTCCTTTGGACCAACCATTCCATGGGTCATTGATTGACCATAGGTATGCAGGATACCTTGACATTCTCAATTTCTTTGTTCCTTATGTTTTCTATGGAGAATGTGACCTCTTCCTTCTCTACAGGTAGTCACATTTTGTGATTTGCAAGATTGTTTGTTGCAGATGTGAAGCTATTAATATTTGATTGGATGCACGATGTGGGTAGTACAGACGTAAGTATCTGAATATCTAATGATCTAGTATTGTTTTCAGCAACTTTTGCAAGTTGTGCTTTCGGAGATTGTTCATATGTATCCTAGAGTTTGGTTGAATGAAAATGGGTGTCTTCTGAAAATCTAGTTTCTGTGTTCTTGTGTATTTCTTCTGGTTTACCATCTCTTCTCACTCTGCAGAGTGCTTGAATTTTTGCCTTGTGGCTGTTAATATAAAAGCCACAGGTGAATCAAGTATCAAGGTGCTTGCCATGCAATTCAATATACTTTATACACATCTAAGGTAATATGAAGGAGCTTCTTTTTTATTTTCTATTAGCTCAGTTTCTCTAGTATTGAAGAGTGAAGCCTTATTTGTTATTTGAATTGGTATTTATACTTAAATGATAGAGCTTATTAGTCAAGTAATTGCTTTGCCTCATGCTCAAGTATTAACAGTAGTCATATTTCAACTTGGAAACTGGGTGATTTAAACTTGGTTACATTGCTTTTAAAAGGAATTCTTTATTCTAGAGATTTAGAACATATCGTTATTTACTACAATTGTTGAGTATTTACTAGGAAATTACTGGTTTGGCTGAAAATGTTGGAGGGGTTCAAGCCTGAAGCAACTTTAGTGTTTCAAAATGTGGTGAGAAGCTACAATGTACAGGGTAATGATTTATTTGGTAGAGTTTCAGGAATAGAGGGAACTTGATGCAAAATAATAGTATTCTTAAGTCGCTGAAGTTTTCTGATTTTGATAACATTAAGCTGCTGACTGTGAACCCAAAATAATATTTGGCCAACCAGAGATATTCTTTCTAACTTGGGCTAATCCATAAAGATGCATGCCAAAAGTCCAGTTAAAGCAATCGACTAGTCGATAAAATTGGAGAGGTCTCGTGAAATTTTGATGCCAATGTTATGTTTTGGTAAAAGTAAATACTTTTGTTGAAGTCTGAGTTAGCTCAATCTATTGCATCTGCATGAAAGGTGCTATAGGTTGATTTCTTAACTAAAGTTCAACGCTTATATGATTCGTGGTTTAGATATTATAATTTTTTATTCTTGTCCTGTTATAGATTGATGGGGATGACATAATTGCTTTTTCGCCTCCTCTAATAGTTGTTTTTGGTCTTCGGTGAGATCTAGAACCAACTTGGTTAGTGAATGATGTTGCATATGCACTACTAAATTACCTATCTTCACTGTATAAAAACCAGCTCTTTTGTCATTTAATAAATAATAATATTACTTTCACCATTATTGGTATATATAAAGAGAGCATGTGATAAGGCGATAAGGTGTCAAGACGGATATTGGGGAAGGCCAGAAGGCCTTAAAACAAGAAAGGAGTGTAATATATTCGAGTATCAAATCAAGGACATGTATGAGCCTGAGGGACTATGAAAACATAAGGTGGGGTCATAGCAAATTTTTCTAATAATTATAGGATCCTGTAAATTCAAGGGTAAACCAACAGTCCTTATCTTTCTACCTTGGTTTTGGATGTGTTTGCTGAACATGTCTAAGAACCAATGTCATGATGCATGCTCTTTGTGGATGATTTAATTCTAGTTGGACAGATGTGGATGTGGACTGTGGAGACGAGTTTTAGAGACACATGTCTTCTGTTCAGGTGGTGGAAGTAAGGTGGAGTATGTAGAATATAACTTTAGCAAAAGGCACATCAGTCCTAGCTTAGAGATGAAGATTAGAGACTGTATTTTATGATTTTTATCACAAGTCATAGTGGCTTGAGTATTTTTTGTAACAAAAAGGTACCATTCAAGCTTAAGGGAAATTTTGCCTCGGTAATGTTGTGTAGAAAAGTGTTAAAAATCCAATTAGAGAATAATTTAATGTAATAAGTGGACATAATAGACAAAATAGGATTTAGAGGAATGAATACACGAGAGAAATTTAGGATAATACCTATTGTAGAAAAAAAGGTTAATGTTTTGTCTATTACATGATTCATAATACAATATCAGTGCATTTTTTTTATCTACGTAGCAAACCAACCTCATCTGATGATTTTTTATTTTTTTGGGTTCTTTTTGATCCTGTTGACATAATGCTATATAAAGAACCCTATTAGCAAAAATGTCTTCATATCTACATTAATATCTATCTACATATGTTGTCCCTTTTTCAGTTTTGCCTTCCGTGTTTTTGCTTGCGTAAAGCGTCATCATTTACATCACCAGTCGGTTGTGTCAATAATATCATTCCTAACAAGTTTAAAATTAGGACAAGTTTAAATCTAGGACTTTATGTATATTATCAAAATCTCACACATCTAGGTTGACTATTGATTCTCATTCCTTTGAGTGAAAGGAATGACTATTGAAGGTAAATGATACCACTGATAGATAGATAAACACCGTGAAGTGCTGTAATATCTTATCTTGGATGAAATAATTATAGCACGGCAAAGATGGGTGCTGTATTTGGAATCTGAGAATGTTTTGGGATATATATCTCAATCAGATTTTAATGTAATTTGAGCCTTCGAGGAGTGCCAAAAACTTCAGTAGCGTTCAATAAAAACACTTCATACTATAAAATCACATATACTTTTAACATAGATTCACATGTTATTAATGGCAGTGCATATCGGTTGTCTCATTATTTCTTTTTTAAGTTAATGTCTTTTTAAATCTTTTTCTGATGATATTGAAGGAAAAGAATATGAATAAAAACTGTAATTGACTATTTCAAGGTATACTACCCGGTAAAATGTTGAAACTTCGTTTTATGTTTTTTATCTGCTATGACTAATCATCGTACGGTCTTTCGTCACAACTACTGGTGCTGACTTTGCCGTTGTTTTGCCCCGTGAAGGCGAGGGAGATTATATTATTTTATTTTTAATTCATCAAAGTAAAATAAATTGTATATGGTATGTTTCGTCGTGTCGTTGTTATACATGTTCTAAACGATAAGCAAAGAATAATCTTAGATAAAAGCCTAAGCTAGGGGTGATACAGACAAAAAAAAACAAATAAAAAGGCTAAGAAACCAAGCAAAGAGCAATCCTTTTCAAAACAAAAAAGCTACAAGTGATGGAATTAGTTTAATAGTTTGTTTGAAAGAATTTCTTTGGAAACACTTGTGAAAAAAATAATAGGAAGAAAAAATGAAATAAATTTTTTTATAAACTAAATTAGTTTATATGCAAGATAATTTGTAATTTTTTTGAAGTTATGAGAGTTTCAACAAAATTAGTTCATGTATAAGCTATTTATAATTTATCGAAAAATTTATTTTATTTTTCTTTCTTATTTTTTCTCTTTTAAGTGTTTATGTTGAGCTTCATCCAAACAAATCTTATATAATAAAATACTTTTTGATGAGGAAGGAATACGAAGTATGATTATTTGTTACTCTTTTCTAAAGATATAACTGGGAGTTAGGTTTTGACGGATGATAGGAAACTGTTAGTTTTATTTTTAATGCTTTTTCAATTTGATTGTCTAAGGAAAAGAAAGAAGAAATAAAATGGTTTATTTGAATAAATTTGAAGTGTTAATCTTTTATTCATTGTGTTAAATATTATATTGCTTTGAATTTAAAAAAATGTTATCCGCTCCTTTTTTAAAACTAAACTCCTTATTATATTAATATATTTATATAAAGACTTGCTTGCCTTATCAACAAAATTTCAAATTTACCGAAAAAATAAGAACAAAGAGATATAGATATGACATCTAAAATAAAGGAAATAACAATTTCCTTGGAATAATTTTTTTTTTAATTTTTTGGAGAAATTTTTAAAAGGAATTCAGGTCTCTTAAACATGTGGTCAAAATTTTGGTACTAAAATTCATGTATACAAAAATATTATTACTCACTGCTATCGACGGTAGATACATGGACCCAAAAAAAAAAAAAAAA